GCTCAACCTAGGGTTTCCCCCCTTCCTTTCTCTTCTCCTTCTCTTCTTCTCCTCTCTTCCTTCCTTTCTTTTCTCTCTTCCGGTGCACGACGGGTTGGGGAAGGGATTTGGGTTCTTTTTTTGTGTTGTATAGTCACTTAACATAAGTTAAGTGGGATCAAGTGGGTATTGGTTCATCTATCTATTTAACTCCATTAATTACCAAACTTCACCCAAATGTCTAGAATATTTTTCTAGGAATATTTCCACTTTTATTTTTATATTTTGGGTACTTTTGTCTACACCCCTTAATTTTCACTGAGTACACTTTTTACCCCAAAAGTGACCCAAATTTACTTAATTAGGTCCTATATGTAATTTTACTCACTATTACATGCTTAATTATTCAATCACATTTAATTTACTAATTAATTAAGTTAGAGCTATTATAGTTAATGTGGAAGAAAAAAAATGGTAGAAGTGAGAGTGAGGAACTCGTGGAGGAAGGAGCTCGCGAGTCTGATAAGGGATTCAGGGGTGTGTTACGCCGAAGATCCACCCGATATGGACATTGTTAGTGATCAGTCCGATACAATAGGAGCAAACCAATATGTATTGGGTCTAATCACACATGGTTGAAAAGTGAAGGCGTCAAGTTGGATTATTTATTTCTTGGGCTGGTAGTGGCTGCTATGTGGTGGATTGATGTTGATCTTCCTTGGCGCGATGACTCTGGCTGGGTACCTACAATGACACTCCAACACTCAAGTCAGTATCAAAGCTAGGCTTTATGATGTATTCTTACTAGAATTAGATTATTGTACCTGTGTGTGTACCCTTTGTTTATATAGTAAGTTTGATGCCGCTTTTAGTAGGCAGTATGTCCTCTGATTGGCCGTTTATGGGCTACAAATTTATCTGTTCTCAGCTAGTGTCTTTCTGGCTATACCTCTATATGTCAAGCTACCATTGTAAAGTGGTGGCAAGCTGAAACTGTCTTCAATGTATTGGTTTATGGCGCAGTGGTTCCCTGTTGTGTTATGAACTTAGCTCTGTAGTCATGTCTTTAGGCGATTTAGGCGCGATGAAGCCATTGCACCCCTTGACCTTTTATGCACGATGAAGATACCACACATTTCATGGGGCCTGTGTTTGGGCCTTGATCTTTGGGTGTTAACCATTTGTGAGCCTATTGTATTTTATCCAGATCAGTTAGTGTTTATGAAAGGAAAGGGAGAAACAAAGGGCCGCGTCTCAAAATTGAAGGAACTCTGATTTCAAGTCTATGAAGGGTATTTTAAGGTTTTATAAAAAAATTCCTATTTTCTTATTCCATTTTTTAGACGAAGGTATAAGCAAAATCTTTCTTTTTTCCCCTTTTTCCTTAAATATTACTCTCAAACATACCCTCAAGCAACCTGGGTGGAGGGAACTCCTTATCAGCGGAGGTGATGGAATGCCTCATTGGACAATCCAATGTTTTTCTACGCATGAGTATTCATATGGTTGGGATACAATAATCACGAGCAACCTCCATTTGATTGTGAAACTCTTATGCATAGGGACATCATGGACGTTAGTTCGCCCTGCTTCTGTATTTTTGTTTTATTTCCTCTTGTATAAAAAAAATAGTGATTGATTATTTCTATATTATATTGGAAAATTCCATTAAATCAGCAGAGAGTATATTGACTTTATTAAAAAAGAAAAGAAAAGAATAGTCAATGGTGCTACATATTTCTTGTCTAAGGCATGATATGCACATTCTTCTATTTAATGTTAATTGGGGAAATGGTAAGCTAAGTACTTCATAGGCCTTTTCAAATGTAATGTAATTGTCTAGTATGACTTCCACTTTCATTCAAGTTTCTAGTCTTTAAAAAAAAATATATATATATATATATATATATATATATATTTAAATTTCTCCTTCAAGTTTTTAGAATATTACTATATAAAAAATAAAAAAAATTAGTAAATTAATCATATCCTAACTTTAGAATAAAGTAATCATCTGTCCTTTTGAATTTGTATTTGATCTGGATAAAATATAGTAGGCTCATTAGAGGCCCAAAGACATACGAACGAAACCCAATCTCACAAAGGCCCAGAGTTAGGCGCGATGACCTCCATCGCGCATAACACAACGCGATGTACCCATCGCCCATAAAATCGCCCTTTAGCATAACTTCAGAAGCAAGAAAACTAACTCAAGAGCTAATACGAGCTCACCACGCCTTTGAACTAATAAACAGAGGACAACACCAGCTCGCCGCTACTCTATCAAGGTAGCCTGACATTAAGAGATAAGGCTACTAAGGCTCTAGCCAAACCTGCAGCCTACAAACGGCCAGTCAGATGCCACACCGCCTTCTGAAGGCGGCACCAGAATCACTATATAAACAGAGGGTACATACCCAGGTTTGATCATCTAATTTAATAAGAATACCCTTACATCTGCAACCGATATTGACTTAAGCATCAGAGTGTCATCGCAGGTACCCCCTATCCAGTTTCAACCATCGCACCAACAAAAGATCAGAAACCTCACATCATCATCAACAACCTCCGGTCCAAGAAGCAGAACAACCGTCTCACTTCAACCGTGTGTAATTAGGTCCAGTACACATTGGCCAGTCCATACTATATTTGGTCCGATCAGTATTCATCAAATGAACTGTTAAATAAAAATATTTAATATTGAAGTCATTCTAATTCCGATTTTGATAAAACATATTCAAATGAATATTATCAGAAAAGAGAAATATAACGATAAAAAATTTAATAATATTATTTCTACGCTTCTCTTTTGTATTTACTTTTTTTTATAGGAAAAAAGAAGACCTAAAAAAAGGAAAAAGTGAGTTTCTCCGTTCTTCTTTCTTTTCTTTCTTTTCTTCCAAAAAGTCAAAATAAATTATCAAATGAAATATAATATATATATATATATATATATATATATATATATATATGGAAAATTGGGTGTCCAATAAATGGATATAAGATTTTTCGGTCCGCGTTATAACTATATACTCCGGGAAATATATAATTATAATGTTAAAGTTATATTCTTTTTTCTCTCTTCATAAACTTGTCTGCTCATGTGGAAAGTAAAAAAAAATACAACTTTAATATTATAGCTATGTATTCCCCATAGTAGATAGTTATAATGCGGTGTCTGGACAAAACTTTATATCCAGTGACTGAACACCAGATGGACCTATATATATATATACCGGTGTCAAATTTGAAATTTGACACCTCATCTGAGAGCCATTACATCAAAAAAGATCAATGGTGTCACATACTTATAAATCAGAGTCGTAGATCTTTTTTTATCTAATGGCTCTCAGATGAGGTGTCAAAAGATCCTAGCTCATATATCTATATATGTATATATATGTGTGTGGGAAAAGTATTTCTCCAGTCACCGGGGATAAAGTTATCTCCAGTGAACTCAAAACGACATCATTTTGAAGTTATAAAATTAAAAAATTATAATGATAAAGACTAATATAACCCTGCAATATATTATAATTACAAAAATACCTTGATTTCTGCCTCAAAATGACGTCGTTTTGGGCTCACTGGAAATAACTTATCTCTATTGACTGGAGAAATCCTTTACCATATATATATATATATATATATATATATATATATATATATATATATATATATGGGCTTATCGTTTCTCAAGTTGTTTGAGATAATTTTATCTCTAGCTACTAAATCATAACCGTACAAAAATAAATCAATGGTGATAAAGGAAGAAAGAGAAAAAGGAATCATAACCATTCAAAGGTAAATCAATTAATATAAGGAAATAAATAAATAAAACGATGTAGTTTTGGAGTGGCCGAAAATAAACTTATCTGAAGTTGTCGGAGAAATATTTTTCCATATATATATATATATAGGTTTATTATTTGTCCTATCACTCCCTTATAACTGTATACTCCGAGAGTATATAGTTATAAGGAAATGACAGTACAAAACATTATATCCAATCACAAGACATCCGATCTATATATATATATATATATATATATATATATATATATATATATATATGCAAAAACTTTTCTTATGTTGCAGATAGTCTCATCTCTCATGTCACTCAAACCTTTTTTGTGTGGGTCCCTTTATTTCAGTTAATAAAAAAATAAACAAAAAACTTAAAAAATAAATCTGTGAGACAACAAGAGATGCTTTCTCCTCGGCAACAGGAGAGAATCATCTCCCATATATATATATATATATCGAATGCAACAGAACATAAGAGTAACATTTTTGCGAAAATAAAAAAAACTACAAGTACTAAATAGAGTTAGAATTAATCAAAATATTTTAAGATACAAAAAATTAAGACGCTTTCCTTTACTCTAACCTGACAGACCCCTTGATACTGGCTAGTAGCTAGTATCATCATAAATAATACCTTAATATACGGCCTAATGAACCAACCGGTTGATTCGTATAATAAGACTATAGTACAAGAACTAGAACCCCAGCAATGTAACCATCCCTCTCAATATTTTTTCTCCAGATTGTTTGCTTATATATGTATGGTCACTATGGAATGTTTTCCGCTCAACAATGAACATTAAAATCTGCCGGCCAAGGATTTGGAACACTCCAGTGAAATTCTCTCTTCTCTTCCCATTGAAAACTATCTAACGTGGTGGCACATCATTATTTTAACATACATCCCCTACCTTTAAAAATGGAACTCTCATATTGACTTCAGCCGATGAACCATAGATCATAGATGCCATAGCATGATACCCATAATTTACTGCTCATAACCTCCAAATAGTTTCGGCCTTTTATTGACAACAATAAATGTATAAAAAACCAAAGCTCATCTATCAAAGTCAGGCTTTATTATGTAACACTTTTATTTTAAAATTCAAGTAAAATTCTCTAAGAAATGGTGTATTTAAACTTCAACAGTCACTGCTTGTTTGCATATAAGAATACAAATCTGCAGCTGTAAGGTTTAGCATTCAAGTGCTATAATGGCTGATTCACTATCAGTTAATGTTGATTCTCCACCTAAGCTCGAATTGTCTGCCGAACAAGCACATAGAACTATCCATGAGGCCGAATACCCTCCTCCATCTAACATCCAAAAGGTAGTTCTAAAGCATAGTGCATACATGAAAATAATCAAGATATACCATAATTATCATTATAGCAATGTTCTCCAAGACCAAGTTCTTGTTCATTTCTTATGTATATGTGTCTAATGTCTTTTATCTAACTACCCCTTTGCTTGAGTAGGCAATTGCTGAGTTCGTGGGTACATACATTCTAATATTCGCGGGCTGTGGGGCTGCTCTTGTTAACGAGAGGTTGCCACTTACAATAGTAGGCATAGCAATCGTTTCAGGTCTAGCTCTGACTGTGGCTATATATTCTGTTGGTCATGTCTCTGGTGGCCATTTCAATCCTGCAGTGACAATTGCCTTGGCTGCTGTCCGAAAAATTCAATTGAGACTTGTAAGCCATCAAGCCATGCAAGCTTGCGATATTCTATGACTGACTCAATCACAGGGATCATCAATTGCTCTAACTTTTTTTCCCACTAATATTTTGTTTCCCTCTTTCCTTTTGTTTCCTAGGTGCCTACTTATGTGTTGTGCCAGTTGATGGGTGCTACACTGGCCAGCCTCACCCTCAAATTGTTGTATCATGACAAGGTGGATTTTGGAGTAACAGTGACTCAATACTTGAGTTCAACTTCTGATCTTGAAGCAATGATGTGGGAATCCATAATCACTTCCATACTGATGCTCACTATTTGCGGTGTTGCCACTGATCCCAGAGGGGTACCGTTTGTTTTAACTTACTTGCCATGAATTATCTTAGCTGTAGCTATGGTTAATCTATCTATTTCTTTGCTCCACTCCACAACCACAAGTCCACAATATTACATGTCAATTTCAAAAATTGATTCCTTTTTGTACCTTACAATGCCTAACTTGTCTGTGGCTAAAGGAACAAACCTTTGTAGCATCTTTTACGTTAGGCATTTTGTTATATTATGATTGACAAAGGAACTAATTTGGTACTCTCGCTGATTGGAACAGAGCAAAGAACTCGCTGGAGTTGCAATTGGAATTTCAGTTCTGATTAACGTCATCATTGCCGGGTAAAACAAAATGCCTCTGATGGGAATCAGAATTCTTGTTTTTATACATCAATGGGAATTGATCCTTTAATGTGACATTAAGTCATGTACGAGAATCTTATGTATTAGAATAAATGATGAAAAAATAATGATTATTGATTTGTATCAAAAGATCCTCTTAATCCCATAATATATGAATCTGCAATTTAACTGTGCTCGTAATTGAACCTGCCACATTCTTCTGCAGGCCTATTACTGGAGCTTCCATGAACCCTGCAAGGAGTTTGGGACCTGCTATCGTGTCTGGTGATTACAAAAACATTTGGGTTTATATCATAGGCCCTACTCTGGGAGCAATTTTAGCAAGTCTACTTTACAGATTCCTAGAAGTAACCAAACCAGCAGAACCTGAAGACCGTACCCGAACCATGTCACACGAGCAATCATAATTATTTATCCCCCACGAACTTGATCAAGCTCTTTAAGGATCTGTGCTCTGTAATTAGACTAAAAATAAACAATCTGATCGTGCCTAGGAACATCAGATTGGACCTGCTCTTGTAATTGTAACACCTCATGTACTAGTTTAGGAAACATGCTGCTTTAGCAGTTCCATGTGTTTCTAAAATTTAATGTTATTAAATATACAACTTGTTATTAAGTATACAACTTGAAAAAAACTATTCTCATATTACATGAGATAAATTTTTCCTACTACATATTCTTAGATAATTGTGCATTTTTTTTTCAAGTGATAGAGCCCACAAATTTATCTATATAACATGAGATAACTTATCTTCTTTAAGATGAGATTAATAAAACCCATACAACTTAATGTGCCACTTATAATGGCTAACAAAGAAGAAGATCCAATGGATAAAAATGCACCTCTTCACTCAACCATAGAAAATTTTAGGGGAATATGAATAAAAAAAGGGGAGAAAAAAAAAAAAAAAAAAAGGTGTTCCGGCACTGTCGTTTAGTATGGCATATTTACCAAGAAGAGTGCACTTTACAGTCGTCAACAGAGATGTACAGGACAGAAAATGTAAATAAAATAGGGATTACAAAAGTAACATATCTGCCTTAAATGATAAGCACAAACCTTTTTGAGTTTATTAGAGGATCAAAGATCCAATATTGGCTCTTTCTCCATCACTGAACAAATTATACTATACAGCATGCCTTCACTACACATTGTACAAGAAAGCAAAAGGAACTGCAAATGAAACTGCCCGAGTGGATTGATATTTTCATGCACATTGGAGGTCAGCTGTTAATAATATGTCAAGACTAATTTAAGGAGTAAGAACTGAACACATATATGTCCATTGCGAGGTTCGGCATCCCACTTTCCCATAAGAAGAGGTGAGAGTGCATTTTCCACCTCTGCTTGTTTTAGATGTGAATTACCTGTAATTCAAATATTAATTGTAATAAGATAACAAGAAGACAATAAGAAGAATATCATAACTTTAGATCAGAAACAACATCATCCAGAACACTGGCATTCATTTTATGATTTTCCTTGTAAATTGTAAATACTGAAAATACTTTAACACACTCTTCACATAAAGTGGGGAATCAGTAGAGTGGAATTTTTTAATCAAAAATCAGGTATGGGAAGAAAGAAACAGATAAGAATAGTGACAATGCACCAAAAAGAACAAAAGTATGAATAAGAAGAGTTCTATAGATCTCAAAGAAGACTAAAAAAATTGAACAGAAGCAGGTTAGCTATACTATGTTTCCAAAATACTCAAATCGTAGGAAAGTAAGACCTTGTAATGAAATTGTTTAGCAGGAAGTATAAAATACATATTTGTTATTATTCTTTTCAGTGATTTGGAAATCTCACCCAGTCTGAGGTAACCGGGTCCAATTTATCAGTTGGTGAGACTGAGGATGCCTCTGCAAGTAAGATGAACTGGGTCCTATACCATTTTCATCATCTACAAATTGCTCTGAGAAGTTAGAAGCTGGGGGAGACCATACTGGAACTAATCCTCCATCCCTTTCTCTCCTACTACTACTTGAAGATTCTGCTGTGGAATCTTCAGCTGCATTTCTCAGCCACATTGTAGTATTATTCTGTAGTCGTGTGTTTCTATTTACGGTCTGCAACAGTCCTTGGTTCACTGTCTCTCTTGCATTTTGTTGTGGGTTTGCATTTATTGGCACTTCAGCTCTGCTATTCTCTGCTGAGTTTCGAAGTTCTGAAGTTTCTTCCTCTTCCACTCTCACTTGGGAAGAAGTGATACTTGGGACCATTTGATCCTCATAGCGCCGAGTCCCATGAGGGGGATTGTTCCTAACAGGTTCGTGTATTTCCTCCATTTGTGTGTCTTGAGGAAAAGCAATAGGTGTTGATTCAGAGGAGTCTCCAAGCCCTTCCTCAGTTCCATTTTCCATTGCAGCTCTTGAAGCTGCTTCCAGCTGCCACATTTGTAAAAGTGCTTCTTGCAATCTTGCTTCTGCTGCATCTATTCCCACAATTGGAAGAGGGTAATTAGACCCAAGTTCAATTCCAGCAGCTTGGAGTACAGATTCTGGTGCATTCCATGGATGATGTATCCATTCAGTTGGTAATCTTGCAAGTTCAGGAAGCCAGCGTCGTACATATTCTCCATTTGGATCAAACTTGTATCCCTCAAACTAGAAAATCCAATAACTGAATAAGTGCATCTATCACTAGGTATTAATCATCTTCAAGCATTCAAATAGCTGATAGTAGTATATAACTCAAAATGTCAATATCAAAGTTCATAATCACAGTCTTTTAAAAGTCTATTTGCCCCTGTTGTGGACCTGACAAAGGCCTATATTCTAAAAGGTTCAATAAAGGACATCACAAAAAGGAAGGAAATCTTCTATTAATGACGATCCTATCCAGACAGCTAAGCAGTTGGACTTGGGCCCCCAATATTCTTAAGAGACCCAGAAGTACACTCCTGCCAGGTAACCCATCTATAAATAAGGGGTTAAGCCAATAAGGTACACACCGACCGGACATCTCTGTGTTTTAGACAGAACAGTCCCTAAAATTAGAGGAACAAAGATATCAATCAAAACAATTAAATTTGTGAAAAACTAACTCAAAATAGTTATGATTGATCATATATCTGATCATATTCACGGGTATTAAGAATGACTATTTCAAATTTTTCAATAGGGAAAATTTCATAGAAGGCAAAGAAATATTTATGACTGCACAAATTACAGAAACCAAAGAAATATTTATAACAGTATTATGCAATACATGACATGTTTTTCCCTTACCAGATAAAGAAGTAAAAAAAGAACATGCAAACAAATGACCACACATCCAAATTGTTAATATAAAGCTAGATTATGTAGTTTTTACACAGAGGAAACTGCACCTGTGGATTATCTATTCTGTCAAATTCACGACCATCAGGTAGAGTGCCAGATATGTACTGCCAACCAAGAGCATCACTCTCAAGATCTGCATCCAAAAGGGTATCCCAGAAATATTTCATTCCCCATCTCCAAGGAAGCTGCAGAACCTTCACAAAGAAACTGGAAACCACAACACGTATCCGATCATGCAGCCAACCAGTAGCCCACAACTCTCTCATTCCAGCATCCACCAATGGGTAGCCTGTTCTGCCTTGTCTCCACGCCTTAAAATAGCCTTCATTTACTACCCAAGGGAAAAACTTAAGGTGTCCCAGAAGAGGCCTTTCATGACTATTGGGGTGGTTGAAACTAATGTACCTTGAATACTCTCTAAGACCAATAGACTTGAGAAACAAGTTCACACTCTCTTCACCAGCCTTGTTTCCTTCGTTAGCCCAAAAGACTTGCTTAATGCGAACAAGATGGAATACTTTTTTGACACTAACCTCACCAAAATGCAAATGTGGGGAGAGCAATGAGGTTGTGGCACTGTCAGCCTTCCTGCGATTTTTTGAGTACTCAATCAGTGGACCATTTATAAACGTGGTCAAAGCTTTGTCAGCATTGCTCCACCCAGGTGACCATGCTCTAGCAAGAAGTGCATTGCTTGCCTTCTCTGATTCATCTTCAAAAACCAATGTATCACAAGGGCACCTTGACACATCACCTGACACGACAAGAAATGTTAACAAAAGTGCATGTTAAAGTCAAGACTGATGGTTCTTGAATTATGACAATGCCACAAGGAATAAACTTGAAACTGTCACAGTGTCACATGGCATATTTGTAGGGCTCGTTTGGTGGACAGGATAGGATAAGGACAGATAGGATAAGAGAATTGGATAAGGGTAGGATATGATATGGACATGATAAGCTCATATCCTATCATGTGTTTAACGTGCACTAGATAAAGGGTTTGCAACGTCGCAAGGATGTATTGAGAAAAATAAAAATAAAAATTTCCTTATCCTATCCTACCACTTTCTAACCCCAAGCGGCCAAGCCCCCCATATGATAAGTAATTAGGGTTTGGGTAGGATAAAAAAAACCAATCAGATAACTATATCCTATCCGCTTGGCATACCAAACAATTGATAAAAGCAGGATATGATAACTTATCCTATCCTATTCTCCTTATCATGTGCATCAAACAAGCCATTAGAGTTTATAAAAGTAAGACCTATTTTCATCCTCCAAAAATTCAAGTGTCATTTCTTTGGTCCTTGAAAGATTTTTGTAATCAACTAGTCCCTCAATAATGCAAAGTGTCTTGAAATTAGTCCCTAAATTAGAGCTCTCTTACGCTCATTTCTTTTCCTTGGTCAAAGAAAAATTAACGGAATGAAACTTTGCATAATTGACGGATTAAAGTGATACCACTTTGTGTGGGTGTGTGTAATAGGGTGTGTGTGAGTGTGTGGTTGTGTGTTCTATTCCCTGTCACCTACAAAAAAAAAAAAAAAAGTGATACCACTTTGTGTGGTATACTCTAAAAGTAATAAACAAAAGTTGCAGAGTTGCCAATTTTGACATGAGAAGCCAGCTGTATACAACTCAATAGAATATTTGTTGAATCCTTATTTTTGGTTTTTAATAATCGTTGGACAATCACACTGGTTGCCTATTTAATAAATTAAGCAGAATGATCTATAAATTTTAAATTGAATTTAAATTTTAAAGTCAACTCAATCTTATTAAATAAGATCCTTTTAGTTTTTCACCTTTTTGCTATGTTACACAGCAACTTTTTAAACGGTTTAAAGCATAGGTGTTCCTTTCCTAAATTGGATAATTTGTTCAGTAGAAAAAGAGGTCAATGACTTATGCAGCTGGCAACAAATAAATATTTATTATTCATCAATAAAGTTAAAAAGAAACATGAAGCTAAGGAAAGAATTGAACAAAAATAGACCTGGAATAATCCTTTTAGGTGGAAGAAGAGGTGCTTGTGGGTCATAAGGCATGCTAAGGCATCTTTCCCAAAAAGCAGCAAAAGTTGTGAATGGTTGGCCATGGGCATCATTAACATCCCATGGTTCATACAATAAATCAGAGTTGAAGGAACGTACGGTAATGCCTTGAGCAGTCAGAACCTCCTTTGCTCGGTGATCCCTGATAAGTGACAAAGGATCTGCAACACACAAAATTACAAGTAAACATATAGACGCAGTTTTTTCCTCCAAGACGTTGCAACCAGGGATTGAATAGAAGTTAAATATCATCATGAAGGATAAGAGACGATTTTCACTTTTCTTTAGAGATTATGAAAGAAAAATCCGAAAAGAAGAATAGAGATGACAAATGATAAAGCAGCTAATATGAACAAGTGATCAGAATAAATATATCTTGTTTCCTACAATTCTAAATTGTTACATGACAAAATAATAACTGACACAGTTTACAGTTTACCAAATAATAAAAGAAGCAATTCGAATTGATAAAATCAAGGTTCCTATGATCTACCTTGGTATCATATTTGAAGACCTGAAAAGATGATTGTACAAAACAAAACAAAACAAAACAAAGTAGCATGATAATCACAGAAAGGGAAACACTAGATCATGCATGAACATATGAAGTAACAGACATAAGAGATAGGAGAAAAGGAAAACAAACTGACCATATAAATGGTTGAAAAAGAGTTGAGTAGCTCCAGTGGACTTGACAACCTCAAGTAAAGAAGAAACACTATCAGTGGATCGCTTGGTGATAAGAGGAGTGCCAAGACTTCTCAAAGAGGAATCAAGGTGAGCCAAACTGTGTTTAAGCCACCACCTTGAGACCCTGCCAGGATAGTATTGACCTTCTTCTTCAGGAGCCCATATGAAAACAGCAACCACAACTCCTGCTCTTACTCCTGCTGCAAGTGCTGGGTTATCCTCTACCCTCAGATCTCTTCTAAACCACACTATGCTGCATCCACCACCTGACATCACCACAAATATTCACCAACCCCACAATTTGAACCCCTTTTAACAGACTGGCATACAACCTCTCTGTTAACCATATACCAGATCTCTTTCCTTCCTTTTTTTTTTAGTATAGATGAAGCTGAGGCACACCAAGAAATGCTAGTTAGTCTTATCTTTTTCTCTCTCACTTTTTTTTGGTAGTTCTGTAGTACTGAGGAAGATTTTAAGCCATATAGATATGAATTATGAAAGCACAATTTGATATTTGAGTTGACAACTTTGAGTTTTGGCACTTATCTTTTAATCCACTTTCTCCCACACTTTAGCATTTTTCCTTTGGGATGAAATTCTTTTCCAGAAAATTCGTATTTTGGTCCTTTCAGCCAAGTTGGCAACCAGAGAGAAGAGACATAGAGACAGGGTACAAGGAGAGAGAGAGAAATGGTATGCAAGGAACAACTGAAGAGGAATGGTTAACCGAGTGGGGATACAATGAATTGACAGACAAACTGCAGCCACTACTTTTTTTATGTTATATAAATTTTTTGCTTTTCTATTATCAGATGCAACAAAACAAATCACATCACGTCCCTAGTTGCTTCTATTTCTATACAATGTGACATGATGGAGAATCGTAAAATCATAGACACAAGAGCTTCTCGGGGCTCTAAAATTACAATATTTTTCTTTTTAAACGTAACTATATTTTCCAACTCATAACTCGGAAATCCACCGGAGCATGCCATATTGTCACACTCTTCTCAATCCAACACAACACTGTCAAACTACGTTCATTTTTTGTGTTCGTGCAATCTTTTGTATCGTACACACAAATATATAAGAAATTCATTATATATATATTTTTTTTACTAATAATAGAATTGCTAATCTCTTCCGTTATATTTTTTTTATAAGCTTAATAAGATTTAAACTAAAAATGATACGTTGTTTAATTTTTTTAAAGTCATTTATGATATGTTCCTCTTGTCTTACACTACAATTCGAGTCAGTTACTTCGTTTTGTTAATCAATTGTGGTTGATGTAAATATAACACCTCATTTATGATATTTGTTACTCACAAACAGATTTTAAAGCACGCACAATTGTAACTTTTTTTGAAATGTAACTCACCGTGAGTGTTATATTTGCGATCATTATGTAAATTAATGACGTAACGTGTTTAATTTGAAAAATAAGAGGGAGATTTCATTTGATTGCAAAAATAGGTTATTAATATACTTTGACTCAATTATCTTGTTTGTACATGCATTCTATTAGTATGAAGATTTCACTTTGTACTATTTTTATTGAATATCTGTTACATGGAAACTCATCGACAATAATAGTTTTCATCAAATTATGCTACTTGGTTGCCAGTTTATACAATTATTAAGCCACCTACCTTTTCTGGCCAAAAGGTATTTAGTTAATTTCTTTACATTCGTTAGTTTCCGAGCATATTATTGTCAGAATAGCCGAATAGGTATTATTATTGATTTTTTAGATAAATAAATGATTTCAAACAATAATATAACTCATTTAATGATTATTCATAATTTAAAAATGTAAATGGCTCAGACAATCAATTAAGGATTTATAACCGGTCAAACTTAATATATTCAGTAAAATAAAATATATTTATATCTTAAAAAAATTCATTTAGAAAATAGATCATAAATCTTCTTTTACATGTCCTTATCTAGAAGCCTATATAGACCACTTGTATTGTACTAATTATTTTATAAAAATTAAATAAAATAATTATTTAAATAATTTAATTAATAAGATAATATCATTTTATTTATTTTTTCTAATTCTTAATAGGTATTAAATGTATGATAGATTTAAATAATTAATAGGTCTAGGTTAGAAAAATATCTTCTGTACTCATGTAATACAGAAAACTCGGTACATCAATATAATCAATTTTTTTCATTTTTCCAACTCTTTTACGGTTATTGTCACCTAAATTTCACTTTTTTCTATTTTTAATAAATGAGTAAATACTTTTGTAATATCAAATATATGCTCCTATGTTAGAACTTTTGATTTTTAAATATGGAACAAATCATACTTATAAGACTAACTTATCTTACATCAAACTAATAGGTCAGACCACTGGCGGACCCACGTTGGGGCAAATGTCTGCCAGTGCGGACATAAAACTTTTGAATTTTGTTTTTTCTTTGTTACAGGTGCTTATTTTTCTCTTGATTCAATATTTATATAGGAGAAAATATCATTTTAAGTCTCTAACAAAAAATATGGTCTCCCTTTTAGTCTCTTACAAAAAAAATTAGTCTCGAGGTCCTTAAAAAATTCAAAGTGAATCAATTTAAGTAAAATCATGATCCCTCACAAATTCAAAAAAGACCTACATTAGTCCCTCAAAAAGACCAAAATGGGTCCACTTTGAATTTCGCAGGGACCAGGTGACTAATATTTTTTTTATAATGGCTAAAGTGGGGACCGATTTTTTTGTTAGGGACCAAAAAAGATATTTATTCTTATATTAGTTAGCAACATACGAAGATGATTAAATTATTGCCTGCAGCTTGTTAGGGAAGCAACTAGATTATCAGCGGGTTCAAGCATTAATTTAAACTTTCTTTACAAAAAAATTTTGGTCAAACTATTACCTGCAGCTTGTTATGAAAGCAACTAAATTATGAGCGGGTTCAAGTGTTAATTTAAATTTTTTTTACAATTTTTTTTTTTCAGCCCAGCAACTAAATGTGCAGACATAAATAAATTTTTCTGGGTAAGACTATACTCAAAAATTTACATACATCTAATTTGTTTAGATGAAAGCCTAATCTAACTCATCATATTTACATCCATATCCATGAATATGAACAAATTTTGATTATATTTTATTTTGTTTTATTTTCTATGGATGAATGCGTGTATTGAAACAGACTTCAGATCCTCCAATAGATACCTTGTAGTCTCGTATCAACTCGTATTTAATTCCTCTGGACAGTTGTGGTAAATATGTGTTAGGTAAGAAGTGTTGGCAGTATGATTTGCTTTATTGAAAGGAAAGAATGGTTTGCTTTATTCAAAGGAAAGAAAGTCATTGATCAAGTTATTCGACTTCTATTTTCATGTCAGGGACGAGTATTTATATATTTAGTTTAATTAGTTTTTATTAAAAAATTTAAATAAATATAAAATTGAATTTTACTTCTTTTATGACTTGATCAAAGATGAGTTTGTCTAAAAATATTATCAATATATCTCCAAAAAAAATATTATCAATAAATATAAATAAAAAAATTTGTTTATCACACTCACATAAATAACTAGACTTTACTAATTTTTTCTCTCTTAGAATCCACTCATTTTTATGTGTATGGTAAAAAATAAAATCTGCAATAAAAACAAAAATACTAAACCGTATATATATATTATAAAGAAAAGTAAATATAATTGCCATAACAAAAAAAATATTGCGGAAAAAAAAATTCAAAGGAGTAAAATAACATGATAGACAAAGTTATATTTGAACTTTTCCGACTCATTGTGATTCTAACAAAGATGTACTTAAACGTATTTAACAGATTTTTTTTTAAAAGAAAATATTTTCCGAATATATTCTCATGTGTACCCGAAATGTATTGCAATCATTGTGATTCTAAGGTGGTGTTTGATTGGGAGCTTTTTAGAGGATATCAATGTTTCTCAAGTATGGCTTTTAGAAATACCATGTTTGTTTCAACGTTTTTCACCAAAAACTCATCTATCCAATTTGTCTAGATTTATGAGAAAGATAAATATCCGCACTGTTTAGAAACCCAATTTTGAAGGTGGAATTTTTCGGAAAACCGGTTATCTGGCTTTTAATGCACTGTTGATTTCATAAAGTTACCTAATTTTCTCAGTAAAGTTTTTTCCCACCAAACAATTTTTTTTACATTTTGCTACCTATCTCACTTTATCTATCTTTCCAATCATTTCTCTATCTATCTCATTTTCCTGCTATTCCAAAAAAAAATTCTGAACCAAACGCCCACTTAAGAGTATCTTTGGATAATAATTATGGGACTCAATCTGATAGTCTCCTACATTCTTATTTCTAATTATTAACTCCTAACGGACCGTTTGGTAGAAAGTATTTTTTAAAATTTCTAGAAAACTAAAAGTGGTAATTATATTTACCTATGTCTGGTACAGAATTTTTAAATTTTTTTCGGAAATTTGATTTTTTTTGAAATTTTATTTTGTATGTTATTTTTTTTTAAAATACCATCCAGAAATACTATCCGGAGGAGATATTCTAGAATTTCTATAATAAGGAAAAATTTAATACAATTAAATATAGAATTAAGAAAATTAACTCAGTATTATTTGAAATATTTTAGTCTACCAAATAACTTTTTGTTAACATTATCAGAAAACTTATTATCTTCTCGTTATATTCTTGGAAATCATGATTTCTAAATAAAAAAAATGTAGCATGAAAAAATGTAGCATGAAAATTCATTCCAATCTTCATTCAATTATGCTGTTGAATGTTGCTTATTTATACCGTATGACTAAAATGTCAAACTCCTGCTATATGCATGAGCTTAGTTGCAGGAACCACGGATATAGCAACCCATTAATATATGGAAAAAACAAATATTATATTATAGATAATTCTCTTGTCATGTTATAGAGATAATTAGTGTGGGGTTCATTATTTTTTAAAAAAATATATAACACAAATATCAAATATTTGTAGCCGTATCTTGATGCGGGGAGTCATTTTCCATTTTGCTAGTTGAGCTCTTCATATATTTTTTTTTCTCTCTCTTTGGTGCACAAAGTTCTTGGAATTTTTTTTTCGATATGATATTATCTCAAGTGGGATTTGCATGGGAAACTAGAGCGTCCGCAAGGACAGCAAGCATGGGACATGGGAGATATCGGATCTTGGGTGGGTAAGCCGCAAGCAATTACAAGGCTTAAGCCCTCCTTTTTTCGGCTCATCGGGAATCTCAGATTCCATTCATGGTTCATTGTCAACTGTCAAACT